TTTGGTCAGTTGTGTAAAACTGTCAAAATATCCTTCATGGCCTATGTTGAAAGTGCAAATATGCTGAAAATTGCAAATAGGACCTTTTTCCTGATGCATCCTTCCAATCCAAAACACCCGTCTGTGCTACTCCTTCACCTCCATGTGATGGCATGGTAAGGAGAGCTCTCACGGTTCTTTAAAGGTTTCTCTTCTTCCATCAACGCCTCCATCGGGTCTGATACTGTCCAACCGTCAACAGAACATGACTCTATCGTCTTGATACTTTTTCAATAGCGCTCTCATCGCGAAGGAGATGCGAAGTCTTGGGCGAATGCCTGAAGGAATTGTGGAATCCTCCGGTCTCTTCTGAGGAACAGCTTCAACAGAACAGGTTTGGGATAAGATAGCAAATTTTGGTGGCAACTCTTCATCTTGGACGTGCAATTTTTTCAAACGTATCTCGCTAATAACAGAAAATCTAGAAGAGCACCAGGAACATCTCAAGTCTTCAGAAAGTTTCCTTGCACTACCAGCACAAGTCATGAAGATATCCCACTATCGTAAAACCCACTTTTACAGGCTGCTGGTGAGGGACAACACCTTGGAATCCTGAAACATACTGCTAAACATTATTTCAATAGTGTCAGCTTGATACAGGTCTTAGACCCATACCACTGGTGAAACTCAGGCGCACGTGCATGTGCTGACAAAGAACCATTTTTGAGGTGATCGCTGGTTGGTTGGTTTAGTTTGTTGTTTAACGCAACACTCAGCAATATTCTTGTTATATGAGTCTGGTCCAGAAAATCCTGTGATCAGCAACATGTGGGGAGGTGAGGTGAAATGGGGTTTAACGTCGCACAAGAATATTTCGCTCATATGACGACGTGCATCCATATGTATGTGCATGTGGCTGCTTGTACTAGCCCACTGAGATACCATGCCGCAGTTAAGCATGAATACCCCTCTCAGACACATTATACTGACTCCGAACCGACCAGTCCTTGTTGTACCCATTAAAGTATTGTCGGAAATAGAAAAAAAACCCCTGTTTTTAGCCTATTACTCTGTATCCCTAAAATTTACACAATTCAAACGGCATATGTCGAAATAACCAACATCGGCCTAACTGGGCATTCAGTGGAATGCGTAATAGGATATCCAGAAAAGCATGTTTGCTCGTAAAATCGGGCAATACTTTGAAAAAATACCAATAGCTACTGAAACAATAGATCAGACTATAGATGGCAATCAGGTCGCTCAGCCAGGTATGACGACGGACCGTCGACTCACCTGGCATGAAATGCATGTCCTGCCTGCCGGCACATGGGTCATCTCAAAGATATTTTATGCTTTCTCGTGTTGATATGTCTCATTTATTGATTAATATCTTACGTGTCTTTCTTCCATACAGTTGATGTTGAGATATGTAAAAGAGTATGATACCCATTGAAAAGCTTAAATCAGCCATCCCATGAAATGTCTCAAAATGTATAGGTGGCATAACCACCCGATGATCGACAGGACTGGATATTATTTGTAAATTGTTATGACATGCTGTTTGATTCCCAAGGTTATTTCCCCAAAGAATTATCTTATTTCAGCTGATATCTCTATCCCCCAGCCCGACCCAGCCTACTTTGACACTCGTCCTGACACCGTTTGAGACGACCCCTCCTACCTGTTTCTTTTTATAGTAATTGTGAGACTCAATGGTAGCTACATCCTTAATGGGGCGGTGGGGTAGCCTAGTGGTTAAGGCGTTCGTTCGTCACGCCAAAGACCCGGGTTCGATTCCCCACATGGGTACAATGTGTTAAGCCCATTTCTGGTGTCTCCCGCCGTGATATTGCTGGAATATTGCTAAAAGCGGCGTAAAACCAAACTCACTCACTCACTACATCCTTAATAGTTTCAGAATTATTTTTATTATTGTTTACGCCAGCTATTGTTTATAATAAAATAATTACTGAGGAGAGACTAGTGCAGAAATGAGCAATGCGGACTTATTTGAAACAGACCATGGTTTTATGCAAGTTAGTGAGCGATGATTTGTATTACAAAGGACACTTTTTGAAATCCCATTTCAAAATTAAACGTAATCCGTTTTTACGTTTCCTATTCCTCTGCCACTGAGACTGTAGTTAGGCCAAACTTAGTTTAACAGATATCACACTTTCACATATTAACCACATAAAATGTAGATATAAATGCGAAAAGATAGGTGTTATTTTTTCTAATTTCCGACAGTACTATAATACCAAGGGCCAGGCAGGGACCAACAAGTGCCATATTTTAACGTCTCTTTTGTATGACATGGTCGGGGAGCGAACCTTCCGCTAACAACATGAACATCAATCTACTCAATTGGGAGACGATGACATGTACAAGTCAGCGAGCCTGACAACCCATCCCGTTAGTCGCCTCTTACAACAAGCATGGGTTGCTGAAGACCAATTCTAACCCACATATTCTTGGGTTGGTGGTCGTTGGATTCAAACAAATTGAATCCCGGAAGATACAGCCATTTTCAACTCCTTGGACTGACTGACTGAGTTTGGTTTTATGCCGCTTTTAGCAATATTCCAGCAACATCACGGCTGGGGACACCAGAAATGGGCTTCACACATTGTGCCCATGTGGGGATCCAAACCCGGGTCTTCAGCGCGAGCCAACGCTTTAACCATTAGGCTACCCCACCGCCCCTCAACTCCTTGGAAAACTGGGCCATTCATGTTCCCCTAAGCTGAGGTGAGTAAGTGATTTGGGATTTACTCCACTTTTAGCAATATTACACAAACATCACAACAGAGCCGCAAAAATGGGCTTCAGACATTGTACCCATGTTGACAGCGATGGTTAACACCATGGCAATGTTAGGCTAGCAGTACAACCTAAACAATCACACCTGGGCCCACTTGCACAAAGCTCACTTGCACAAAGCTATCTTATCGCTACGACTATCTTAGCTTATGTTGGAGAATGGGAGTTACAATCATTTAGCGCTAAGATCGCTTTGTGCAAGTCAGCCCTGGAGCGAAAAAAAAAGGCAATCAGTGAATAACATGATGAATAACAACCATTCTATAAGGTTACCAAGTCATAAGTTCCTGCAGATGAAGTTAACATAAATGACAAACACTGGTTGTTGGGATCCAATCCCGATTCACCATGGTTTATTGGTCGTTGGTTGTGTTCTGCAACACTCAGCAGTATTCCAGCTATATGGTCTGTAAATAATTGAGTTTCGACCAGACAATCCAGTGATCAAAGCATCAGATCCATCGACACAATTGGGATGCAATGACATGTGTCAACCAAGTTGGCTAGGTTGTTGGTGCTACACACATCTGCTACAGTGTGTTGGCTACTTGTATTAATGCCCAATACATCCTCCTGATGAAAGGGACCTTTACTGTAATCGATCACGTTTTACTAGAATGCATCAGATCATTTATGAATCTTGATTAAGTACCTGATCTGATCGCTAAAAAGAACTTTTGGAACATATCTGTCAATGACAGTTTGCGGTACACAATTCCTTCTGTGAAGAACAATCCATTCATTGTAGTATGAAGACATACAAAAGAAATATTGAAAACACATTTATATAAAAAACAGGTTTATTGCTGATATACACATGTGATAAACCTTCAGTCTTTTTGAAACACAATGAACAAAATTTCACAACAAACATAAAATTGCACATATTGGACAGGTTGAAATAATAGCTTCATAATAACATAGAACCAAAAGATATAAACAGAACATGTAAATATCAATCGACCTCATCCTCAAGGTATTATACATGAAACATTGAGAGGCTGACAAGTCATCAACCAATTAAAGTCAACTGATTCACATTCAAACAGAGGGAAGATGGAGTCAGGTATCCACCCAAAACAACATTTATGAGAAAAAAACTGAAAAGAAACTTAATCTGACTAAAAAAATATACAGCAAAACTATGAAACTAAGATAATATGGCATTGTGACTAGGCATGATCCCTTAATCACAGCTGTTCTATTGGCCTAAAGCTTCTAACCTGTAGTATTCACCTGTCCGTTCTTCTTTAAAATTTGTTTCAAGTAAGGATCACAGAAAAAGTATTCCTTTCACAAAAGAATATAAAGACATATGTTTCTATGTAATGCTTGACAGTGGTGTGTATAATGCCCTCAACTCCAGCACTATGAGAGCATTACACACATTTAACGTCATTGGTTAACTTCATTGACCAATCAGAAGGGTGCATCAAAAGGACCCAATAGAAAAGTCATATTCCCTCAACTGGAAATTTTCAAGGCAACGTGCTGAAAAGATATTATTTTGACTAATGACGTCGGTAGAAATAACAAAACTAAAATCAGTTTTAAGTAATATTACTATCATGTAAGGGCTCTGTTTCATTAACCTGGATAGCCTGGATACTGAATCAAGGTGCATACAGGTACACAACTGAATAAAGAAACTGAGGATACTGAGAAACTGAAAAATATGTTTCACAATGCTGTACACCATGTGATATTATGATATATCAATAACAGTATTGTTATCTTCACCAAGCCTCCTATTGGTCAACACCAGCTTGAACCTGCACAATAAAACCATTGATGCTGTATTATCACATTTGACCAGACAATACAAAGCTTAATGCCTCAGACATTGCACCATGCAAACTGTTGATATAAACATGTTTAATATATGTATTGCATGTGTTACCTGAAAGACAAGACTGTCAAACAGAGGTAGAAGAGTCAAGTCTGTCAGGAAGCCAAATTAGACATTCCAGCACTTCACCACTCTTTCCTCTGATTGTCTCCGCTATGTTACACCTATGTTAAAAAGAGATAGAAGAGTCTGTCTGAAGCCATGATGGACATTCCAGCATAAGCACTACGTTCTTTTCTCTCTGCAGTTGCCAGGTGTTGACACCTATGTAAAATTGTCCAAAAGAGATAGAAGAGTCTGTCAGAAAGCCATGATGGACATTCCAGCTATGTTAAAATTGTCTATGTTAAAATTGTCCAAAAGAGATAGAAGAGTCTGTCAGGAAGCCATGATGGACATTCCAGCACTTAAGCACTACTGTCTTGTCTCTGGTTCTAGTGTTGTCATCAATGGTAAAATTGTCTAAAAAAGATAGAAGAGTCTGTTAGGACACTCCAGCTGTAGGACCTGACTCTGTGGCTGCTCTCTCTTGTCAATGGCTTAGAGCTTCTGCCTATGGTAAGAGAAGTCTCTCAGGAAACCTAAGTCAGTTTGTCACTGGTTTCCAGTGCCACTGTTACCCCTTATGTTAAGATTGTCCAGGAGAGGTAGAAGCTCTGGAAGGAGAGTCATGTTCTGAGGATTACTCGTCTGCCCAGAAGGTACACTGGACACCCCAAGCAGATTCTGCAGATTGCTCATGTTAGACATGTTTGGCATTCCCTGAAGATCCCCCATGGTGGCTTGAGGAACAGAGAGTCGTGGGTCCCCTGGCACCTGTTGTCCTGCTGTCATGAGAGCTTGAATGTTGGGCATGGACATTAGATTCTGGAGGCCAGGCATTCCCATGGCTGACACGCCAGGGTTCTGAGACCCAACGTTCATGCTGGAGAGGCAAGAATTCACATTTTGTCTTCCTGCATTCATGACGCCTACATTTGGCAGGCCACCATTCATCAAGTTCTGTAGACCTGGAAGGAGGGATGTGTTCTGTCCTCGTCCCAGGGATGGCATCTGCATCAAGTTATTTGACATCATGGGGAACATCATACTCATCATGGTGGGGTCCAGGGCCTGCATGCTGGCTTGTGTCGCCATCATTGATTGGAGGAGCTGCTGTTGATGCATCATGTTACCAGTATTTTGATTGGTGGCTGCTTGATTTGATAGGCTTGTATCTGTTGATGGTGTGGTGCTGATATTCTTCGGAGGTGAGACTGGGTTGACAATAAGTGGAGCAACACGGTTTGTTTTGATATTCTTTTCCTGTGGAATATAAAGTGAGAACACTGAGAAGTTGACATCAAGAAATAAAGAGAAGTTCATGCACATACATTTGTATTAGAACTTTTAATACTTATCTTTCCAGTGATTCATAAAATCAACATAAATACTTTTAAAAGATTACAAGTGAGTCTGTTATTGAGTTTAACACTGCCTTAAACAATATTCCAGTTCCATCACTGCATGCCAGTGTCATGTGGGAAGAAAAGCTGTAGCCATGCAGATCTCCGATGTTTACAACTTTGGTGAAACCCATGAGTAAGTATTTGGTGCTGATGAGTGAGTGAGTGAGTGAGTGAGTATGGTTTTACATCGTCTTTAGCAATATTCCAGCAATATCATGGCTGGGGACACCAGAAACGGGCTTCACGCATTGTACCCATGTGGGGAATTGAACCTGGGCCTTCGGTGTGACGAATGAACGCTTTAACCACTAGGCTACCCCACAGAGTGCTGATGAACCTAGAAACACAGGAACCAGGACTCGAACCCACCATCATTGGTTTCTAGTTTACCCAAGGGAAGCAACTCTGTGGGCAACTGCAACACATTTTAGTGATAGAAATTATGTTGACCTGGTAATATGAAGGAGATCCGATGTTCTGGAAGGGTTTTGTGAGAGTCTGCTGGAGTACTTACAGGGGACATGGCCATGTGTGATTCCGATCTGCATCCCTTGTCAAAAGTTTCTGCAATAACAATTCAGAAAGTTATCCATAAGAATCTTTAGGTTCATGCAATAAACATAACATATCATACAGGTAGGTTAACATTAACATTAACAGTGTATCCACCAACTATATGTGAGGTGAGATGAAATTGTGTTTAACGTCATGCTTGAGACTATTTCACTCACATGACAACATGCGTGTGTATGTGCGGCTGCTTGTACTAGCCCAGACTTAAGCAGGTTTTATAGTGCTAGCCCACTGAGATACCACGCTGCAGTGAAGCATGAATACCCCACTCAGACGCATTATACTGACTCCGAGGTGACCAGTGCTTGTTGTACCCATTAATGCCGAGCACCAGGCAGGGACCAACAAGTACCATATAATAACGTCTTTTGGAAGGACGCAGTCGGGGATTGAAACCGTGACCTTCCGCTCTCCAGGTGGACGCTCTAACCACTACACCACGGAGGCGGTCCCAATTATACATCCACACCCTGACCATACCCACCTACTGCATGTACATCCACACCCTGACCATACCCACCTACTGCGTGTACATCCACACCCTGACCACACCCACCTACTGCATGTACATCCACACCCTGACCATACCCACCTACTGCGTGTACATCCACACCCTGACCATACCCACCTACTGCGTGTACATCCACACCCTGACCATACCCACCTACTGCGTGTACATCCACACCCTGACCATACCCACCTACTGCGTGTACATCCACACCCTGACCACACCCACCTACTGCGTGTACATCCACACCCTGACCACACCCACCTACTGCGCATGGTACATCCACACCCTGACCATACCCACCTACTGCATGTACATCCACACCCTGACCATACCTGACCACCACACCTACTGCGTGTACATCCACACCCTGACCATACCCACCTACTGCGTGTACATCCACACCCTGACCCTACCCACCCACCTACCAAGTGCGTGTACATCCACACCCTGACCATACCCACCTACTGCGCGGTACATCCACACCCCTGACCACACCCACCTACTGCGTGTACATCCACACCCTGACCACACCCACCTACTGCGTGTACATCCACACCCTGACCATACCCACCTACTGCGTGTACATCCACACCCTGACCATACTCCACCTACTGCGTGTACATCCACACCCTGACCACACCCACCTGCTGTACACCACACACTGACCATACCCACCTACTGCGTGTACATCCACACCCTGACCATACCCACCTACTGCGGTACATCCACACCTGACCATACCCACCTACCTACTGTACATCCACACCCTGACATCCACACACCCACCTACTGCAATGTACATCCACACCCTGACCATACCCACCTACTGAATGTACATCCACACCCTGACCATACCCACCTACTGCGTGTACATCCACACCCTGACCATACCCACCTACAAGTGGTACATCCACACCCTGACCATACCCACCTACTGCGTGTACATCCACACCCTGACCATACCCACCTACTGCGTGTACATCCACACCCTGACCATACCCACCTACTGCGTGTACATCCACACCCTGACCACACCCACCTACTGCGTGTACATCCACACCCTGACCACACCCACCTACTGCGTGTACATCCACACCCTGACCACACCCACCTACTGCGTGTACATCCACACCCTGACCACACCCACCTACTGCGTGTACATCCACACCCTGACCATACCCACCTACTGCGTGTACATCCACACCCTGACCACACCCACCTACTGCATCCACACCCTGCACACACACCCTCCACACCCTGACCACACCCACCTCATGCACATCCACACCCTGACCATACCCACCTACTGCGTGTACATCCACACCCTGACCATACCCACCTACTGCGTGTACATCCAGCCCTAGTGTGGCTTCCACCTCTTCCATCAACTCCTTGGTTTTACTGATTTGCATCTCCACCTCATGCAGCTGGTTCACATACTCCGACTCGCTCCCTGTCACAGACAGCAGGCTCTGGAGGATACGTTTCCTGTAGAAAAGTAAAATAATATTCATAATGAGCGTTGTGTGAGTGAGTGATTGAGATGATGCTTTTGCAAATTTCCAAGAATATCACAACAGGGTACACCAGAAATAGGCTTTACACATTGTACCAATGAGGGGACTCAAACCTGGGCTCTTGGCTACCGCTTTAACCACTAGAATAAACCACTGTACACATCGGTGTATCAAAGACTGACCTCTTAAACTGTAGAGCCTGCAGAGTCAGCTTCAGTTCATCCACCCCGAGCTGCGTCTCCTCCAACTCTCGCTGAATGTCGGCCTCCATATCAGCATCATCGCCCTGAAGACAACAGGTCACTCTTGTTCAGTGGGGTCTCAATCAATACCAAACCATTTAATCATTATAGGTTAAACAACATTTAAAAGCTGAGGATAGAAATGAGTTGAATTCATAAAGGGACACCTTGCAAAACAAGGCTACGAATATTGGCTCCACAGCTTGGGATGTTTGAGAATATTTTGAAAAAAGAATAAGCTTTCCTTAAAACATTGAAAGTCTTAAAATCCATAGAAACTGAAAACAAAAAGGTACTATTCTGAATGCAGTTCACTACAGAATCCTATTTAAGGATTCATTATGACTGGCTGCAGAGGTCAAGGTCATAAGTGACAGATAAGCAGTGGTGAGAGTTGGTAAGGTCATTATGGTGGTTGATGGGTCAAGGTTACGAGCCACTGCAATGAAATGAACTAAATAATTGAGAATGTGTAACACTGTCCCCACACCAACCTTCTGCTTGTGTTCCAAACACTAACCTGCCAGTAGAGATCATTGGGATCAAAATCTCGGATGATCTCTTCCCACCTCGTGTTTTGATTCTTGTATTCGGATGAGAGAAGGCATCCAAGATGTCTGGCAATCTGCACACCAAACAAGAGATGTTTTTGCAGGAGAGGCTGACACTTTCCAAGCAACATATTTGCATCCATTTGTAATGTTAAGAGTACAGGACATTTTAACCCATATCTCGAGTATTTCGAATCGTAATTTACATAAAAAATAACCAACAACTGTCAATGTATTGATGGTTACAACAGTCATAACTCACTGTATGATTCAAGATAATGTCCAAGAAAGATGAGTCCACAGCAATTTCTGGAACTACTGGTGGTACGTACGTACATCTGTTTGTTTGCTGTTAAACTCCACACTCAGCAATATTCCAGCTATATGGCGGCAGTCTGTAAATAATTGAGTCTGGACCAGACAATCCAGTGATCAACAGCATGAGCATCTATCTACGCAAATGAGATACGATGACATGTGTCAAAAATGTCTGCGAGCCTGGCCACTGTTAGTTGCCTCTTATGACAAGCATGGGCTGCTGAAGACCAAGTCAATCACACTAAACATTATGTTAATTTACTGTTCTTCGACGACAGATGTAAAAAATAACTTTATAAATATGACTTCTTTTCATCATGATTTGGCTGAAATATTACCAATATGATTCTAAATCTTATCTCACACTCAGAGGTAATGAAATACAAGTGACCATCTCTTACAAAGGGCAGTAACTCTTGAAGACTTATCTTACCCTCTCAGTGCATAGATGGTAATGTAGGTCTTGTGTTCACTCATCGACTTCACTCCATAGCTGAAGTGAGAAACAAAAATTTGTCTCCTTTTTTTTTGTAAACAACACCACATTCTATAGGATATCAGGATGAAAACAGTCAAGTCGGGTCAAATTGAGCTGTTGATAATGTGATCAACAATCCACGTCATTGAAATATGATGGCACAGAATCAGACAACTTTGCGATCCATACAACCTAATCCATTTGGTCGGAGATGACTGTCTATTCTGACCTGACATCTGTATAGTGTATCACATCGGGATAAGACAAACCAGTGGTTGATATTATGAGCAATCACCGAGGTACAAGGACATGTGCACCAGCAAATCATCAAGTCTGACATCCCAATCAGAGGACCAGATAAGCTGCGTATCCGGGTAAAATACGCATAGAAAATTTCCAATTACGCACTGAAAAATAATTGTTGCGAACCAATTACGCATTTAAAATGTTAGATACGCAAAAATTTTAAAACAAATGCCTACAGAATATATTTATAAAAATCGCTTGTGTAATGAAAAAGACATTGATTGCTATCAAGTTGTACTGTTTTTATAGGACAAGTGTTGTACTGTCAGTATAGGATGAGTGATTTTTTATGAAATCATCTTCATTATATTTAACTTGGTTTTGATTAGGTATGACATAAGACAGAACATACCTGCTTAGTAAACTTACTCAATGATGTTCTACTTAGGTGAGTAATATGACTGAAATATGCACATATTTGAAAGCAGTGGGTAACGGAAAATGAAATACCCACTCAACATTCATAATACCCACTCCAATAAAATACAGTGGGTACAGTACCCACATGAGCTAAATCTTATCTGGAGCTCTGCCAATACATGTTATTTGAGACCAAAGAAACCAACTATCAGATCCAATCAATCTGATTTTGGTTTGTTGTTTTTTACACCACATTCAGCAATATTCCAGCTATATGGCGGCAGTCTATAAACAAATCAATCTGGACCAGACGATCCAGTGATCAACAGCATACCAGTGGTCGATTTAAGGAAATGAAACCTACTTTCACCTGCTGCAACCTAAGGTAATCCACTGCACCTGCAGCTTAATATAAAATCTGATATCATGCTTGAGGTTTTGGTAAAGAACAGCATTATAACAAAAGAAATATGTAGTTATCTTACATCCTAAACTTTCATGAACAGCAAGTCCTTCAGTTATTGTTCCTACACTAATCAGAGTCACTGTTCCAAGTCAGTTCCTCATCATTCTGCTTTCCAGCTGAAGTCTGTGTTCTTTGAACACAAAATATTAACATGCACTGGGTGCAAATTGATATACATAAGAGGTTGTATTTAGCATTTTCAGGTTGCACCAGTGCAAGTTCTAAATGCTTAAATCAAGCCCTCCATACTTATGAACGAACTCACAAAACTAGTAACTTTGATGAGGACGAGCATAAAAGCATGAATTGATGGTCTAAGTTACAACTATTATGCTAAATTGGCAATGGCTGTCTTTTCTGTAACAATAAAGAATGAATACTTGTGATATAATGTGTCAACTTACAACAGCAGGTCCTGGAACAGATGGGGGTAGTCGGACTGGCTGAGGACTTGTTTCTTTACAAGCAAATGCTTTGTCTGCAGCTGGAAAGAGTGAGTGAGTGAGTGAGAGAGTGAGTGAGTGAGTGAGTGAGTGAGTGACGTAAACAATATTCCAGCTGAATCATGGTGAGGGTCTCAACAAACTGAATTAATACAACTGACTGAACTCGTTTTGGATTATACAAGCAAATGCTTCGATCACTATACCATTCTGCAGTTGGAATCAACAGACAATACTGATGAGTAGTGCTGGTTATTGCTGACATTATGTAGATCGATAATTGAGTTTAGTAAGCGATCAATAATCAAATGTTATAACCCCCCCACAAAACTCAAGTGGGCAATACCTGGCAACAATCAAACAGGAACCGATTAATACCACAATCAAATGAGTGAGTGAGTATGGTTTTATGCCGCTTTTAGCAATATTGCAGCAATATCACGGCGGACAACGATCAAGAGCACTTCCTGTTGAGAGGCACAAGAGCATTGTCTACATTGCAGAGTCAGGAGAGTTGTTTACGTTTATGCCTTGATTTAACAAACCTAACCACAAGAAACATATTTTCTAAAGCTTAAGTTGATGCTTCATTTTTCATGAATGTCAACTAGTCTCCTAAACTCATCAAGATTCGCTGACTCAAGTGAGATCTGACTGATTGACCGATTTTACAATTAATCACTCTCGCACTGCTGGTGAGTATTGCCGACTCTCACTATTCAGCTGCATACATTGAAAAAGACATCCTAAGTATTTTGAGAATTAAAATCTTTGACAGGTATCTATAATTCCCTTGTAATTTTGAGCAGATTTACTTTAAGTAAAATGAAGAAATTTTGTCGCTTTTTAGCAGTGTATGAAATAAGGCCCGTCCGAACAGCCCGAGACGGGTTAGATTTCAGACGGACGGTCTAATGTACAGCTAGCCAGCCCGATGGTCGGGTAACAAAATTAGATGTTATACACATTTGAGTCATATCTTGGAGTCTGGTCTGGTCTGGTCTGCATTTTGGACTGGTAACATTTTGAAGTTACCAGCCCTGATGTCTGGCTGGGGTTTGGGTTTATTTCATACACTGTTTTTAGTAATTAACAATGAACGCATTAATGCATGCACATGAATTGACACCGGAAACGAAAAGTTTTGAACTCTCTGAGATGTCTTCAGGTTAATGGGGTGTGTGTAGATGCTATCGCTGGCTTAATGAGTGAGTGAGTTTAGTTTTATGCTGCTTTTAGCAATATTCCAGCAATATCACGACAGGGGACACCTGAAATGGGCTTCAGACATTGTACCCAGCTGGCTTAATGTGAGAGGAAAGAACAAGGTGGAGACATTAACCTCGCTGTATATAGCAACAACCATAGACATGATGGAGATGTACGTAGGATCAAAATCAGAGAGTGGGATTTGATCCCATGTTTGGATCCTGGCATTGCTAAGGAAGATAATTTATATCATCTCAATCTATTACAAAGGTACAACTTCGGTCTAAAACAAAAAAGTCATAAAACACAGAGAGACATGTCTGTGACTTTACCATTGATCGGAGAATATCCTCTTCCCAGAATAGAGCTGATATTTCTGCCGAGATGATCCATGGTTCGGCCTCCCAGTTGATCACGTGAACACACAGAGCAGGGGTCAACTCCATTCTGAAAGGTCAGAGAATCGAATATCCTGCAATACACCACTACTGCAACATTCTCAAAGGAGTGAGTGAGTATGGTTTTATGTCAGTTAAGGCAATAGTCTAGCAATATCATGGTGGGGGAGACCAGAAATCGACTTCACACATTGTACCCATGTGGGGAATCGAACCTGGGTCTTTGGCATGATGAGCGAACGCTTTAAACAGTAGGCTACTGTACCGTCCCGATTTTCAAAGGAAGTTCTTGAGACATATTTTCTTAATAGGAGCTTAATACAATTGGGACATTGCAGATATTTTTGTTTGTTTAAGAGGACATTTGGTAATATTGCAGTTTGATGACAGTGGTCAGTAAATAAGTGCACTGGACTAGCTGGTCCGGTGAGTGATATCAGTCTATGCAATTGGGATACAATGATATTCAACAACCATGTCCATGAACCTGACCTGATCCTATTAGATACCTCTTACAACAAGCATGGGTTTGCTGGGGAATTCTAACCCTGATATTCAAAAGGATCAGAAGATGTCGATGTTGTCTGAGATCTAAACTGAACAACTCAAAATTAGAAGGCAGAAGATAGTGTGATGATCTAAGTTCGATGTTTTGAGTGGGTTTACGATCTGAATTATGGAATTACCGATAACAGCCCTGAAACAAGACATGGCTTCAGCTGAAGCAAAAAAACTAGGCAATCCATTCTAAACCCCAGCATTGTACACAACCAAAACTCTTTGCCAGTGCAGGGTCAATAATATACTATTCACACTTTGCTAAGTATGGATTCAACAGAAAACCAGGGCTCCAGATAACTTTTGGGGGTGTGAGTGTACTTACACATCATATTGCAAGTGGAGGTGTACTGAGAATTTTGAAGGAGTACTGACAATGTTTTTGTGTGAGCGAGTTGGTGATGTGGTTTGTCTTGACGATTCATCGATCACTATTTCCAACCATGTATTTGTATTTGAAGGCGCTTGAGAAATAACTGAGCGACCGTGTGATGCGTGAAATGTCAGGTCCGACTGGATATAAATAGGAACAGTGTAGTTTTTAGCCAATCCAAAAATAGTGACGCATATCGTTGCATGGCAACGCAAGTGATTCCTACTGTCGGGGTTTCCTCATGTGTCAAATCGTGTTTCGCAAAAGAAACTTGACAAGTATTTATCTGAAATAGATTTTCATTTGTACGATACGCACGGAAATTAAATGTTAGACATACAAAGGTATTTATGTGCGTACACGATACACTTGAAATCTTATATTATGTCGTACTTAATTGATTTTGAGGCGTACATTACGCCTGTATGCCCCTTATCTGTAGCCCTGGAAAACTATGATGTCGGGTCAAATTTGGTTTAAATATCTAAGCTTAGTGTAAGCATGGATCCTAGGTTTCAGTATGTCATTTCATCTTGTGGATCCCATACCTGGTATTGACAGGTGTTGTGTACTTGTCAGTGACTCGTTCCATGAAATGCAAAATGGTTGATTGGTCCCATAAAAAACATTTTTATGGTTACTCATGTATCAAGTGCATAAGGTTAGATTAAAGTGGCTACCATATCATTATTTATCCAGTTTTAAATTGATACAAATTTCAAAAAATAAATCTACGTTTAAGTAAAGTTGCGTTTTTTTGTGATCCTTAGCAAAGTGTGAGTAGTATATATTCATTTCGGTGTTGAATTAAATGTGCACATGACTCACATGTACATGGCATACAGACTCATGATCAGAGCTGTCCTTCACACCACCAATATGGATGTTGTTTGAACAACAGGTACCTGTGAGAGGTAATACCATTCGGGTCTGATATTTTTAAAAGCAATCTCATTTAAATATTTGATAACTTGGATCAGGAGTGGCCCACAAGAGGTTCAATTTATCAATTTTTATATGAATTTGTGCATGAAAACAATGAATTTCTCAGCTCATGTCATATGAGAAGGATCGGAAGACACTTTCTTGTGTGTTGTAAATAGGCTACATATATAATTGTTTAGAACAACGTACGGACGAACAAATCTTGGACTGCCTCCTTCTGATCGATCCAGCACTTTCAGCTTGGCCTCCAGTAGCCGTGGCAGCGCCACCTGGTGAGCCACCAGATATGATGCCATATATGAGAGCATCGTCAGGCACCTGTAGAAATAAAAGGCAAATTTTTAAAAACCAAGCATATCAACATTGTAATTGTATGGGTTACAACACTTGTTTCACGGGAGACTATAGGAAACAGTTTGACACAGCAACCAATGTTTGACACAGGAGGCTATAGGAAACAGTTTGACACAGCAACCAATGTTTGACACAGGAGACTATAGGAAACAGTTTGACACAGCAACCAATGTTTGACACAGGAGGCTATAGGAAACAGTTTGACACAGCAACCAATGTTTGACACAGGAGGCTATAGGAAACAGTTTGACACAGCAACCAATGTTTGACACAGGAGGCTATAGGAAACAGTTTGACACAGCAACCAATGTTTGACACAGGAGACTATAGGAAACAGTTTGACACAGCAACCAATGTTTGACACAGGAGGAGACTATAGGAAACAGTTTGACACAGCAACCAATGTTTGACACAGGAGACTATAAGAAACAGTTTGACACAGCAACCAATGTTTGACACAGGAGGCTATAGGAAACAGTTTGACACAGCAACCAATGTTTGACACAGGAGGCGACTTAATGGATTGGGTGGTTAGAGTCACTGACTCCAGGGAAAGAAACCTTTCAAAATTTCCCACTAGACCACAGGACCCGTGAGTGGACAATAATTAGTGGTCATGTGTGTATTTCACTGGTCCAAAATAACATTCGTATATTTATTTATAAATTTCACTGGCCACCAGGACCACTGCAAACTTATCATTTAGTGGTCCTGATGAATTTTTAATAGCCAGGGACCACAGGACCAGCGTAAATTTCGCACACTGTGACTTGGTTGACAGTATGTCATTGAACTCTGAAGGCAGATATATTTTTGCTCATAATATCGACCACAGGTTTGCCCTGTCTAGATGTAATGTTTACAAGGTGAATATACCTGGATTATGGCCAACTGGAGTGTTTAACAACTAACAAACAAAATATTGCATCCATTGTGAAATACCACAACAAAACAAGTTTTCATTTAAACATATTTTATTCACAAATGTGAAAGGGATTGGGGGCAAGTTAGCCAACTTAAAATACCCGCGAATATGGTTTATCAATTTAATTTTTTAATTCAATATACTCCACATTAATGTCGGTGAAATTGTATACAAACTGACTGGCAGATTGCACTAACCCACCATCAAATCATCAGAGATGACAACTTTGAGGGAGTAGGTATGGTTTTAAACCACTTTTAGCAATATTCCAGCAATATCAAGGTGAGGGACACCAGAAACGGGCTTCACACATTGTACCAATGTGGGGAATCAAACCCGGGTCTTTGGTGTGATGAGCGAAGGCTTTAACCATAAGGCTACCCTACAGCTACAAAATGGCAAGTTTGTGATAATTCATTTGGTTTAACAGGGCATAAATATTGAACATGATTAAAATCCTGATAATCTGCAATCCACAGACCATCTTTCTTTGGTAACAGCCGCAGTACAAACAAACATGAACAACAGCTGATTCTGACCGTGACATTTATTGCCGATACGTTATTGATTCCACCATTAATTGATAACTATTTACTCATCCATAACTACTGACATATGAAAGTGTTGCAGGTTGCGGAACAATTACTTTGAGGACCACTGGGTTGGAACACATAATTAGGAAACCTGCAGGAAACCTGCAGATCCCATCAGCAAACAGTCAATTATGTTTCCAGTCTATCGTTAAGCATTCTATCTTGTTATTTCCCCAATACGGTAATCATTTATCAATATTGCATCATGGCTGTATGTCCCGAGTGAGTGAGTGAGTGAGTGAGTGAGTGGTGAGTGAGGTAGGGTGGAGTGAGGTGGTGAGTGGTGAGTGGAGTGAGTGAGTGGTGAGGAGTGAGTGAGTGAGGTGAGTGAGTGAGTGAGTGAGTGAGTGAGTGAGTGAGTGAGTGAGTGAGTGAGTGAGTGAGTGAGTGAGTGAGTGAGTGAGTGAGTGAGAGTTGTGTTTAAAAGTTTAAGACCCACATTTTGTAGAACCAATCTTTTCTAGTTTTGCTAGTTTTCACCAGGACGGTCAGGAACTTATTTTGATTAATTTCACATAGTAGTTTAACAATTAGAAAAACAAGCATTCAATAATTGTTTTCAGGAGATATGTAAAAGAATAAGGTAATAATGTTTCACATTTATAATTCTCAAAGCATTAGCATTCTATGATTTTGAAGTCTTAACAAACTGTCGCATGTGAATGTTTGACATCTGTAACTTACAAAAACAGGATTCACTCAATATTTTTCAAGACTATCAAACTGTCATTATGAGTTAATTTAATACATTTTGACATTTATAGTCGTCACAATAGCACCAAATGTCAAATGAAAATTACTAAAATTTGAGAATATTCTGTTTTTCTACTTACAAATCATTCATTAAAGTAAAGCCCAAAGTTAACCTGCATGTAGTAGATCTAAAGAGTACACCACTTTAAACCATGCAAGTAGATAACTATTGACATTGTAATCAAACACTACCTCCCTCAGATAAAACATTTACAACTATCTCTCAGCACCTACTATTCAAAGAAACCAATAGACAGCTATACATAGAGTGCACTCCATTATAGACCATACATGCTGACTTTGATAAAACACTTACAACCCAGGCAGACAAAACATCTTCAACTGAACACTTCAACTCAAAGAAACCTACAGGCTGTGTATATGCAACCCACCCACACAATCTCCACTATCCCAAGCAGGGACAAGCCAGGACCTGTCACAGAACGTTCCACGGAAATCAATACTTGTCAATACCCCATATTGATCTGCTACCGGGTCGACCCACCTCCTTCCATACCTGTAGGCAGACCTACTCCAGAGTAGGCTTTGTCTGGCCACCACTGGAGACAATTAAAGGACATTAAATATACCACAGCGCATTCTCTCATCAAGGTAAGTCTAGTTTAAAGTTGTCTGCTTTGTGTGATGTTAATATGGACTCACCTCAGAACTTGTCAAACATGTTTACACTATTCATAGCAAATGATTAGTGGCTTATTTGAATGACGGTTAATTATTACCATAACAAACAGGTTTACTCAGGGCATACAAAATATTAATGTTTACTCAGGGTGTCTGATATGCAGATGTTTACTGGGGAATACCACATGATTACTCAGGATATACAACAGGCATTTGTTTAGTCAGGGTATCTGGCATGCATTTGTAGTCAGGGTATAATGGGCATACATCATGCATGTGATTATATGTGACAAGCATGTGTTTTCTCAGGGGCATGCATGTGTTTAGTCAGGGTATACGGCATGCATGTGATTAGTCAGGGTATACGGCATGCATGTGTTTAGTCAGGGTATACGGCATGCATGTGATTAGTCAGGGTATACGGCATGCATGTGTTTAGTCAGGGTATATGCATATACCGAGTATACAACACGCCAGTGCGTGAGTGTTTACTCGAGTATACAACACGCCAGTGTTTACCGAGTATACAACACGCCAGTGTTTACCGAGTATACAACACGAGTGTTTACCGGAGTATACAACACGGAGTGTTTACTCGAGTATACAACACGCGTGAGTGTTTACTCGAGTATTGCCAGTGTTTACCGAGTATACAACACGCCAGTGTTTACTCGAGCATACAACACGCCAGTGTTTACTCGAGTATAGGTATACATCATGCATGTGATTACACAACAGAAAAACTTTGTGAAACTTCATCGTCAATAACATGCAATATACACAATCGACACCCAAAGGATCACACACTAAGCTTCTGAAAGCTTTTACCAGTGTTCACTCAAATAAATCACCGGTGACTTACGAAATTGTATACTGTAAAAATTCAGATTTTTTCTAAAAAATCTGCGTTTTTTAAAGAGAAATCGGACAGCAGATGTTGTATTTGAAAATCGGAGTTACTCCGCTAAAATCGGAGTGGTTGGCATCTCTGTACATGTATATGATAGATGAGTCCATGAGTGAGTGAGTGAGTGAGTGAGTGAATTTGGTTTTACACCGCTTCTAGCAATATTCCAGCAATATCACAGCAGGGGGCACCAGAAATGGACTTCACACATTGTACTCATGTGGGGAATTGAACCCGGGTCTTCGGCATGATGAACGAACACTTTAACCATTAGGCTACCTCAGCGCCCCCGTGAGTGAGTGAATGTATGAATGAGTCAGAGCGAATGTATGAATGAATCTGTGAGTGTGCAAATGTATGAATCAGTCAGTGAGTGAATGAGTGCATGAATGGATCTGTGAGTGAGTGAATATATGAATGAGTCTGTGAGTGAGTGATTATATGAATGAGTCTGTGAGTGAGTGAATATATGAATGAGTCTGTGAGTGAGTAAATGTGAGGGGGTGAGTGAATGAATGAATGGCTCAGTGAGGGAGTGTCAGTGAATGCATGAATGAATGAGAGAGTGAAAGAATGATGTAATTAGGTGTGTGAATGAAAATGAGCAAGACTTCTTGTATTCAGCCAAAAATATAATGGCATGATACATGAAAAATATGATTCATATATTGCATGAGACGAGCCCTGAATTTAGGTATGTGACTTTAATGACTGTCTTATTCACTACTCGTGCTGGTTTATTGGGAAACTTGACTGGCTACTCAGCATTTCAAAGGACAGAAACCAAAATGTGACAAATCAATACGAACATGGAACATGTTTGTAACAAACACTTCTGAGCGTCTATAGCCCTGAACAGTCATTGGCTGTTGTCAGTGACATACTCCTCAACGTTTCAAAAGTATATGCCTATTATTCTAACTAATAACTGAAGCAACAAATATATACTCATGGAAATATATTAGTATATATCAATGTCAATACTGAAATGGAACAAGTTTGCCAGAAATATGTTTAAGCCTATAGCCAGAACACCACTCTTAACACCATTATCCTAAGATATTAGTGTTGTCATATGCATAATGCATTATTAAATGAGCTAACCATATGGGATAAGACTATTGGATAAGCAGTCGGCTGTGAA